GATCCTTTAAACAATCATCTGCCTTTTAAATAGGCACTGTTGCTATGTAATAAAGAATATTCTTACCAAGTTACAAAGTTATTTATAAAAATATCTCGATAGTGACTATAAAAAAGTTGCTATTTATTCAGATCATTGATCCAAATTTTTCCTACGTGTGTCTGAGTAAAATAGTTGTTTAGGCATAGTTTCTAAACAATATCTCAGTATTTCTTTTTAACACAATGAATAAGTCTTTGAACTCAGATATCAAGAATTCGTTGGAAACTTGTAGCAAATGTGATATCGTACAATGGTATTATACCACCTATTGTGTATGATATCAGATGACTTGATATTTCTTTATCATTATTTATCTTTTGTCTAGCAACTAGGTTATAAATAAAGAGTATTTTTTATCAATATTCTTTAAACACTGACACTGACATAGACTAATTATTTGTCTTAGCTCTGCCTTTTAACATGCCGTCTTCGTCTACTTTAACCAAAAACAAATACCGCATAACTCCAAACAATTTATATTAAACTCGATTTAAATTAATATTTATATAAGAGCTATACATTTGTTGTATCTAAAGCAATATGTCGTTATAAATTCAGATCATCCCCGCTGGTTATTAACTGATAGTGACGGGGTTGTCAAAACTTTGCCTCCCTAACAATCCCTGAGCCCTTATGCGTTTGAAACTTACTCGTACCAATATACGCACTGACAAAGACAACTTTCGTAATGTATGTAGCAACTCGTAACGTATTCTCAACTTGTAATTATTGTTTAAACACGTAACTAGTTATTATCTGAAGTTGTCGCTTTCAAGTCCTCTTGGAGTAGACACGTTGTCTATTGTTTCGATTTCATTTATTACTTGTAGTTTGTAGGAGTGAAGGCTCTGTTTATTGCTTTGTCTTGCACGTGTCAATTTTTCTATGTGTGTTCTTTCCTTTCCTTGGAATAAAAACTGTCTATAGTGAGTCTTGCCTACCTACTTTGACATGCAAAGTTAGTCTATCATGAGTAATTTAGATCATATCTATAGACAAACTAAGAACTATTTGTCAAGTTTTGGTTTGGTTTCCAATACTTGATCAACATTTTGCTAGGATTTTTAGAAATTGATCTACATATATACTTAACAAAATAATGTCCTTCAAAAACCTTTAAGTCCTCCAAACCCCATAACGATAACGAGACATAATTTCGGTAATTACCCAAATTAACAAATTACCCGTCATTCCCCATTATTACATGGTTATGTAAGATCCAATATGTGTACTTAATCACGCAATCAAGTAAATTCCTGCTATTAGAACCTCGATTAGAACATGTATCACGTCAGATCCAGGTCAGATTGAAATATCGTCAGCTAACAATATTTGGCCTAGATTTCTGCCTACAATCCTTATGAAAATGCCTATACATATTTTCTAGATAAATATTACTAATTTGTTTTAGTCAAGGCTATTGAGAATGAGCTGAGTTTGAAGCGCCTAGCTTTTTATTAAACTTGAAACTCATCATTTTGTCCTTATTGAGTTTCTTTTTCATACAACATAGACGACTACATGGTCTATTAGATCAAGGAGTCTCTCTATTCAGATAAATATTATATTAATATATTGCTTGCTAAATTATTTTATTTTTGTCTGTCATCGAAGTCCGAATAATTTTAATTAGCCATATTAATACATTTTTGAGTAATTGGTTAAGGTTTTAAGCATAGGTAATAGTACTCATTTGAACAATATAATTCAACATTTAACACATCCGCGGCCATCATTATAACAAATCCAAATCGCCCTTTGTCCTTTAACGTAATCCAACAACAAACACCGTAAAAATCATAAACCTTCACACCCCATTGAAAATTTAAAAGTAACCGACGATCCACTTTCTTGTATAAATATTCACACATTACCCATCCTCTGCAAACTCGTTGTGAATGTCTCGAAAGTTTCCCGTAGGATATTACGTACGTAACGTATGTATTCACAATGTATCGGGAAGCCATTGTCGTATATCATACGGCCGTATCTGTAGGTGCCAACTATTCTCTTGTCTACCGTGTTTTACTTCAAGTAACGTTGTAAACTTTTAAACGGTGTATCGTATCTATGAAAGTTAGTTCGACGTGTACTGAGAACCATATTTTAAAGTAATAATGACAAATTTAGATCTTTGTTGGTACTAAAGGTAGTTTTAAAGATATCACGAATGTTACACGTTAGTTCTTGAGACGATAATGCGTTGTTAGTCTCAAGTTTTTGTTGTACTGTTAATGAATATAAGTTCCATAATTGTACTTAAAATTTAAAGCACCCGAATCATGTGAAAATCTCCAGTAAATAAAAATATTTGAAGATGAAAATCTAGTATTTTATATTATAAATAAGAGAATTATTAAATACAATTTTGTATGTACTATAGTGAACATGAAATTATAGCTTGTCAATATTTCTGTATGAAAAATATATGACGTAAAACAATCAAAGTCAATTTTGTGAGCGGTCATGTGTCAATTAAAATTGATGAACGACAACCTATTAAAAAGTTTCAAACAAAAGTTGGTTCCGATAATTTAGTAGTTACTCAAGTATTATTCATTTAAAGTAACTAATTGATTTTATTAAAATTACCAAAACCATTGGTCTGTAGACAGAAAGTAGAAGAAATTTTGTTAAATAATTACGTTATTTTGTGTAAATTTTTTTGTGGTTTGTTTAACCATTTCTATTCCAAATCTATTGCCAAGCGATTAGACCATTTTAATAGCGATACTGAATTGCAAACTTTAGACTGTTAGCTAAGAAAACCTATTGATTAAATCGGTAAACGTGATTGTATGTTCAAGTTCTAAGCGAACACATTGATCACAATATAAACACTGTAGCACGATTACATGTAATAAAGAGTCTAGACACGGAGTAAACATCAATAAACATTGAACATAATACAACGTACAGTTAATATCTTTAACAAAAATAGATTGCCATCATAAATTCAAAGACAAAATCTCGCCTCCAAACTTTCAATTCGCATCATTAGACGTCAACGTTTCATTCTGTGAATGAAAAGCCTTCTAGATGCTAATTTGCTGTGCAAACAAAAGCTAAGGCCTAATGAGGGGCGCTTGCGGGTCCACAGACAAACTTTCTTATTCAACCGAAGGGAGGCCGCGGGCCCTTCCGCCCGGACCATTTGCTTGTTTATCCTGGACTTAGGATACTTCGATGCTGAAAAGGAAAATAATGTCGCAAAGAGCTTCACAGTTTGGTGCAAACTTCTCTGTGCGTTGTTTTGTATGTCAATGGTGTTTACCGGTAACACCTTAGGTATTGTCCTATAGAATTATTATTGTGCTTTCATTTCCATTAAAATATTTGCATTTCATTTACTTCGGTCAATTTAGCGTGATATTTTACTGTATCAATTGGTAATAAGCGTCAGTACCATGTTGGTACCGTTATGGTTTTATTGCTTATATGACTTAAAGATCTTCATCATGTTCAACAAATGCTTTCAATGTCTTGGGGTGCCGGTGACGTAAAGAAAACCATGGGGTGCCAAAATATCAAAAAGCAGTTTAATATTAAGGTAATTTATGAATTGGCGAACTTTTTTTTAAATATTTATTGGTCTAATTGATGAGCTAATATCTGTTTATGAAATGAAGAATTCCAACTTGATTATATTAACAGGTATTTGATGTTTAGTGTTGTTTTTTTGAATTTGTCAGCCTGAGTTTTACTTATTTCCATGCAAAATGATTGGTATTGCGATTGTTGTACAACTTTTTTTCAGACATTTTAACCGTTTCGGGGCAAAATGTCTTAAGGCGGATTTATTGGCATTATCAAACACGATTTACGTGTGTCCAGTTTAAATAACGTGTAAAGCTACAAATGGTTTTCCGATAAAAGTCAGAATACAAGTGAGGAACGAGGAAAATCTTACCCTCCGGCGGTCGGGCCGGCACGTCTTCGCATGCCTAATTTAATCCTCGGCTTATTGAAATAAAAACGACATAGGTTTTCGACAGGTGCCGCGGGCGACGCGGCTCGCGGGAGGGGCGGGTCACAGGTGGCCCCGATGGTCGCAGCGTCGTTAAAATTTACATAAAGTCTCAATCCACGACGACGGGCGCTGCTGCCCACCCCACGTTTATGCTACATTTAGTAATTTTATGATAATTTCGAAAACCGTACCACCACCCATCGCATTATACTAATAGAGGAATTCTCCCGAGCTCCGTGCAACGCCGAAAAAATTCGACCGCCTTCAAAATAATAAGTTTCGGTTAATAAATCGCGTTCAGTGCAAAACGAACATAATTTTTTGGAAAAATTAATAGCAGATGTGTTGTTGAGTTGCACAGCGCACGGGGGACGAGCCGGGGGCGGTCCACTGGCCACTGCGCTGTTACTGACTTTGAAACGCATAAATTCACTCGTTACGTTTTGTTTTTTAGATATATTTTTGATTAATGGCGCATAAAATCGAAACACTCACGCGTGGAAATTTTAATATTTTTGGAAACTTTTTATTCACCCTCTACTAACATCCCTACTTCGGTGTTTAGGAAATTGGGGTGTTTGGAAGGTTTAATTAACGTGTTTACCAAAATGCACACCCTTATGCACAAACAATTGTGGAGATAGGTACTTTATACGCAGTTTAAATCAGGGGGGATATTTGCTGCGAAATAATTACACTTTCAAAACAAAATTACAGAGGTTACGATAAGTTATCATTTAATAACAACATTATACTGATTGTGTAAGTCAAGTTTATCGTATTACCTATGTACATGCTACTAAAGCTTCTGCTTTGGAGTCTAAATTTACTGTATTACTGAATACCGGAGTAGTTTCGCTTAGAAATTCTCTCTATGTCATGTATTTCGGTTCTATTCACATTTCATAAAACAACATCTGTTTACACAATATTCGAGAGAAACGCACTTGAAGTACCCACTCAAGACAATAATCTTCTTTTGTTACAGTCCAACTTGACGCACCTGCCGCGTCACGAGTACGTGCCGGGCATCGGCATGGGTGTCGCCAAGTGCCCGTATGACCCAGCCGACAACTCCACAGCCCTGTGGGTGGAGAGGGGCAATCCTGGTAGCCTACCTGCTTTATACTCTGGCACTAATGCAGAGTTCACCAAGGCGGACACCGTCATCTTCAGAACGGATCTCCATAACTTGACGACGGGCAGACGTGAATTTGCCTTCAAGAGAACTCTAAAATACGATTCCAAGTGGCTCGACAGTGAGTATTAATATTTTTACAGTACAATTGATTTAAATCCTCTTTATTTTTCTTTGTACTATTAAAACACAAAAAGGCCATTTCATTTTATTGTGAGATTTATTATGGTTTCGTTGTATTCAGACAATTATTTCCAGCATTAAGTACGAAACGGAGTAAGTAGGCAGGCGCTAATAAAACCTACATAAAATATTTTTTGTTCTAGAACAATGTGGATACTTAACGTTTTTGGGGCAACATTTGCTGCCATAATAAAAAGGCTATTATGGTTTACGTAACTAGCCTAATGACTAATGAGCAACATTCCTTTCTAAGTATCAAATCGATGTTTTCAGGTTGACTGAGTCACAGTGGGCCAGTCGACCGAGTCGATACCGATATAGAAATTAAATCAATATCAAAATGAGCGTAATCATTGCTGCCTAACAATGAATGAGTTTCCATTAAGCCGAAAGCGAGCTGGTAATAATAAGAACAAATGTTACAATTATCGATACGATTTACACGGAAATTGGCCTGTTTGCGATTAAACTACCGAAATTAAACTGTTTGCGCTTTACTGAGTATCAGTGTCTCCCTTCCATGAGCTCAGCTATTCCTGTTTAATCCAAATATTGTTGTAGCCATTCAAATGTATTTCATTTCATTTACATGTTGATGTAAACTCTCTCTCTCACTCCTATTATGTCTAACGCGCTGGCAGCAAACTGCTAGATTGAAAAAATAATAAAATAAATACCTACTTCATGAAAGCAACTTTTGGGCCTATGCATAAATCACTCAAGAATAAAGACATATTTCTTTTGTCACGTCTATATTCAATATTAAAATATGACTTATCATATATTGAGATTAATAATATTCCTTATGTTATGTAGTTCAATCAATCCTAAGTTAGAAATATATGTCTGAACGCACTCAATACTGTATGTAGTGTAGGTATACTAGAAATCTATAAAACTTTATAAAGTCGTTCATGAATATCGAACACGTAGGTACACAAAGTTTTATTAAGTTTTTTTATATATCATAAGACGGCACGTTCTTTAAATAAAATCATTGTATCGATAAGTAAATTTCAATCGTAGATTTGATTTTTATTACAATTTGCTTTTGATTTTAACAGAGTACAAATATTAGGAGCAGTTGGGAGCAACCCTTTGCCCGTTAATTTGTGTGGCACGGTAGCAGTGAAATAGAAATTACGCTTGTGTACAAATTTGCCTAATTTTCGTTAATATTGCTCTGTTCATTACATTCGGCCCTTATTACTAACGTTTCAAATGCCACTAACAGTTAATTATTTTCATTGGTTCCCCTTTTTGGTGGTATTCATTCTATTTGTTAAAGATTCGTTTTGAATATATTTGTACGTAATTTGAATTTTAATCGTAACGGTATAGAATTTAAAATTGTTTAATGTGTACGTTGAAATGCTTCACTAAATAAAAATTAGGACATATAATGTACATATGAGTAAATATTAACATCAATTTAATTCGATACTTTCATTAAACCGTTATTTTATTCAATACCTAATGGGTTTTAGATTACCCAAACTTGCATTAGAAGTAGTCATTAAACCTCTGTTAAATAATGTAACAACAGGCAATCTATGTGGCATCGCTAATAATGCCACGTACGACGCATTCATCAAAAGAGGGTTTATCATCACTATTCATTAAATGAAGCCAAATTTATAGTCGTAATAATTTAAAAGTTTAGAAACCTTATTACTTATTAAAGTTTATATCTTAAGCTTTATGTAACTGCTATTGTGTCGTATGCTAGATGACATAATTCAACGATATGAATAGAGATATTGGGTGTAAGGCGTGCGTCCGTATTCTGTAATCCATGCCACGTGGCGTTTTCATTATAGGACCAACAAATAAGCACTTATTAATGCTGGCTATAAACGTCCCGTGTGACATAATTGTCACCCACGGCTTCATCTAATATTTATTGCATATCACATGAAATAACAGCAATTTGATTCTGTGGAATTAACTCAGATTGTGGGAACGCACGTTTGTCAGAATTTACTAAATTTATATTCGTAATAAACGAAATTATAACATAGCGACGCGACTATTAATTTTATTATTAAATGAAAATTTTAATGTCTATTTATTATTTATTTATTTAAAATTGATGCTGAAGTTAGTTTAAGTAGAGTAATATTAAGTGCTTTTATTTGTGACTATCAATTATTTGGAACTTTTAAGTGTCAAAAGTTTTTAAGTCATTGTCTCTTTGTGTTATTCATGAAACAGTTTTATTAAATTGGTATTATTTTGTTCCAGAACCGAATTTCGTTGGGTCGTTCGACGTTGGGGATTATGTTCTATTCTTCTTCCGTGAGACTGCCGTGGAGTACATCAACTGTGGCAAAGCAGTCTACTCGCGAGTGGCAAGAGTTTGTAAGAAGGACACTGGTGGCAAGAACATACTGAGTCAAAACTGGGCTACTTATCTAAAAGCAAGACTGAATTGCAGTATACCTGGAGAGTTTCCTTTCTACTTCAATGAAATACGTAAGTTTTATTTGCAAATAATTGTTTAATTGTTTCTATTTCAGCACTGCCAACTATAAAAATCAAGCAATTTTAAAAGTAAAACTACGCTTAAAATATATTTTCCCAATATTTCATCTAAGATGTTATAAAACAGATTGCACCAACATACATCAACAAACAAATTATTAAACTACACTCAACTTAAGAACGTTGTCGTATCGAGACTTACCTTACATTGAAAGCGCACAAATATTGACTGTCAGTCTCGAGCAAACATTTTAAGTTCAAAATTCAAAAGTGCATACGATTTTACGGGAGTCTAGCCGATTTCTCTCTGTACTTGGGCTTGGGTCCTCGCAGACCCAGACTGAGTTCATATAATATTAACGGTAGGGGTTCGCGCCGTGCCACGGTTTTTCACGCGGACCCACTACAATCTCTGCATAACTCATGAGAGTGTAATAGGTACTCAAGCGCTCAGTATTTACAGAACTTCTGTTATTTACATGTCTGTTCGAGCAATTAGGTTTGTGCGGAAGTTGGTTGTATTTCTAGTGTGACACAAAATAGTGGATAGGGTTTTTGTTTGGCGGTTTGGTGCTCGAATATTGTGTTTGCATGAGTTTGTTACATTACTAAATAAAAATGAAAATTACGTGGGAAAGCAGTGACGTCAAGTTTGTATTGTGTATTCTAATAAAATTGGCATTAATTTTGTCCTAGAAATCCCAAATATGTTAGCAATGTTGCATGTTGCGTTCCTTAAATGCAAATCCTTAAGACAAAGGATATCAGTACTAACAGTACCAACGCACTTGCATCGAGTTAGCGAACTTGCAGTGCAAACGCAAGCTATTAATAATAGCATCAGCCAGTAGCCAAACTATTGCAACTTTACCAGAGATATTACGTTGAGAGCCCACAATTATAACAATTTGATAGTAAACTAAGTTTCAACAACCAAGAACAGATTAGGCATCACGACGCCGCTTGATAAATTTTAGCTTCAGTTGTCCAATAGTTAGAGAATCAATTTAAATTTAAATTACTTCTACAATCTCTTTGATATTTTACACCTGACTAGATAGAGCTTTAATAAAATAAAACTTTGAAATTAAAAACTTTTCTCCCAAATGTTTAATCTAGTATGTAGATAAAAACAATTTTATTCCAGTGAAACTTATCTAGTCTACTTTATTAAATTTACTTTGTGTATTTAATTTTGATGGTTTATTGGATATTTATTCAACTAATTCAAAGTAATGTGAATATACAATGTGAACATTTTAATTAAAACTATTGCGTATATTGTGCACTTTGACGCTTGAAATGGTTGTTAAAACTCATTTGTTAAATAAATTGCAATAATATAGTTAATAGAATTCAGTATTGCTAAACATATTCTTGGTAAAAATATATGGGAATCATGCGCAATACTGCATAATCTATGCACGAATGAAACCAAATTCTACCGCAGCGCGTTTACATAAAACTACGGAGCAAATTCCACATGTACAGCCATCCATTTGCTTTTTCCCATAGGAGTAAATATAAACTAGAGGGAACTCCTTTAGCTTGGTATACATGAACTATTACGAACATATGTGTTGGTTGCTATTGACTACCAATATTTTCAAGGTGTTGTACTTTCTTATAGAGTCACATTTTTATACCCATGTATAAAACATTGTGATTACTTGACGTTAACTTCAAATTAACAAAATCAATACAGACTTGAGAAAGCCGTGGTATTTTTTTAATTTTATGGTTCCATGTTACGAAAAGCTATTGTTCTTTACTTCTAGCAATTACTTACATTCTGTATAGTATGAAAAATCTCAAGTTTTACTCGCCTTTATAACACAAGCAATATTTTATTCCAACAGAAAGCATCTACAAAGTACCTGGAGACGACAGTCGGTTCTATGGCGTCTTCACGACTGCCTCCACCGGTCTCATGGGATCAGCCATCTGCACCTTTACAATCGGAGATATCCAGAAAGCATTCGAAGGGAAATTCAAAGAACAAGCATCTTCCAGCTCTGCGTGGCTTCCAGTTATCAGCAGTAAGGTTCCTGAACCAAGACCTGGAACATGTGTTAATGATACCGCTTCTTTGCCAGACACCGTGCTCAATTTTATAAGGTCAGTTGTTTTTCTTTTCCATTTAGTAAATGTTTTAAATAAACTATTGACTAATTGTTACTATTTTTCGAATACGAATGTGTTTATTAGCAAATTGGAAAACAAAATAAATTTCACTTCTCACACTCTCCCAGATTATCGGAATTTACGACGCATTGTTCAATTTATTCATTAAAAAAAGTCCCGAACGAAACAGAGAATTAATTTATTTTTAAAACGGCCGAGCAGCCGGATACGTAAAAAGAACAAAAGGCGAGACTGTCGTTATTGTAACAAGCGCGCCGGACGTAAACAAAGTAGAAAATCGTCACTTAAAAACGCGAAACACGATCCTGTCGCCGACGAGGTCTCTAGCGATTCCAGAATTCCACGCTCATTGAAATCCACAGGCACTTTTATCTGGCGACACGTCCTGTTAATTATCCGACGCTCTCACCCCGAGAGCGTTCAATTATTTTTTTTCCCGCTTTTCCATGATCCTCATGTGGAAACGTTGAGATTTTAACACTTCACCTGAACCAGTCTGCTGAAAATAGTATAAAATTTTTTATTCATAACGAGTAGAGGTTTTAATTAAATGAATGGTATTTTGTTGTTGGCGTCGAAGCAGTCTGCATTGTACGACATTTGTGCTGGCGACATTATCGTCGCGCGCGATTGTCGCCGGCGTCGCAACCTTATTGTTATCAACGTGCTTGTAATGTTTCCGCTTTTACGCTCCAATGACTTTTCCTTTATTAGACACCTTTACACGTTGCATTGTTTGCGAATAAATAATTTTCAAATGAATTTACTATGGACGATGCCACTTCGTTGTCGTCAGTAAATATTGTTGTCAATTATGACTTTGAAAGTCAAGCATAAGTTTTACAACTAGTTGCTTCATAGAAAAGTCCACGTAATTCGATCGGAGACTTAAATATAGACAAAGTGACCCTAAAACTTAGCACAATTGGACAATCAGTAACAAAAGAAACAATGATTCATATTAAACTTACTCTATTTCAGTTATGAATTACAATTTTGGACTTGGTAATAACTTATCTAATTCGGCAGACTGGGCATTTTCGTGTTAAACTAATTATGAATAAATTTTTCACAATTTAGTTAGTACACCTAAAAGGTCTTAATATTGAAATTAATATTTTTGATAAATCTTATTTGACATAGTATCACAAAAAATAGCAAAGGTATTATAAGGTTGCTCTAAACTCACGAGATTGTTTAATTCTTCTCTTTGGTTCTCGCCTGATAATATTATGATAGCTTAATCTTTCTCGACCTCTACAAACTTCTATATATTATTTGAATCTTAAAAATAAACTGAATTCCTTTCTCATACAGATCGCACCCACTAATGGACAGCGCAGTCTCCCATGAGAACGAAAAGCCGATATACTACAAACGAGATCTCTTTTTCACGAGACTAGTAGTCGATAAAGTTAAAGTTGACATGATGGGACATCCGCTGGAGTACACCGTCTACTACGCTGGCACAAGTAAGTAAACCTAGAATTGTTATTTGAAATTGCACGCAATTTTTAAGAATATGAGACTCAAATTTGCTTGAAACTGTTTAATGTGTAACTGCATTGAAATATAATGATTCTTGTTCTTCTTTTATCTATCCTTATCCCTATTTAATTGAGGGCGTAAAGTAAGGATACGATTTGATGTCGGCATTTAAAAAAATATAGCACCTGATATTGCAATTCGAATTATGATAGGGTATGAAAATTAAAAATCTATTTAGTCCTTACGTTGGTAATGAAAAAATAATGGGCACGTATTTTTTTATTTTGTTGTATAATAAAAAAAAAATGCATATAAAATAATACTGGGATAAAACGAACCAAAGGTTAGGAGTGGGGGCCAAAACGACATTTCTACGTATAAATTGTTCATAGAGGTGACGTCACGCGACATTTCAAATCAATATATCATCGAAAGTATTCGTTTCTACCCTATTAACGATTATTGTAAAATTATATTATCTGTCAAAATTTTTGTTTATATCTATGTTAGGTATCGATTTAAAAATTGTGTATAAAAAAGAAAGTTAATCTAACACATACAGAAAGAAGTCTCATTGTCCAAGATAAATATTATTGTAAAAGTTTTTCACTCTAAGCTACTTTGATCTCACCTCTATTTTCGTAGATAGTTCGGACTAGATAGACGCACCTTTACCAAATATTTTAATCTTTTAGTCACTATTCATCGCGTGAAAAGATTAGGGAACCAATTCATACCCAAGGGCCACACGCCACGTAAAATCTTCACGTGAACCCATAAAACATCCATAATATGCAAATTCTACTCATCCTAATGGAAAAACCTGATAGCTAAAAATACAGGGGTGCTTATATCCCAGCATATTCCATTCCTTTGTTAACAAAGAGTAATGGCATTTTTATGGATCTAAAAAATAAAACATTAGACACACAGACGACCAAGGCTTGAAACAATTAGCGAATTCCGAAGCGCAAAGCAACGCTCGGAACAATCAGTGCACGGATACGCCAGGACATAAAATTTCATAAAAGCTCACGAATTAAAAATGCCTTCCACTGGGAAATTAAAAAGTGGTAGCGAGTGAAAGTGGCACAAAGGCCATAATTCGTCGCATCCATGACGGCTGGACGGATGTCTGGATGCCATCGCTGTGCACCCTTCATACCATGAAACAGGGGATTTAGTTCAAAACATGAAAAACCGATTATACGTTCATTGTTTGTAGCAAAATGGCGTATGAAGCTTTGTAGTTTAAGCGCTTTTGGTACTTCAATTTTATTGACTCCTAAAAAGCTCGCGCTAAAGCTTGTAAATCCCTGAGCTACAATCAAAATATCTATAGCACAGGTGAACGGTTGGTCGGTTTGTTCAAAAACAAACAATGAGGCCCTAAAGTAAATGCCATCACCAGCAGCCTTACCCATTGTGGAAGCTGTTCAAACTCTTATCACTTCGTTTTCACCAACAACAGGCAACAATTAAGATTGTAATAGGCATTACGCACTCACGAAAATGTATCTCGACGTTTATTCCGTCCGCATTTTCGTAGCAAGTGCTACGTCGTAGCCGACGCGACGGTATGTGTGCGCGGTTCGGCGTAGACCACAGAGAGTCAACGTCACATTTCCATTGCCACATAAATTCGGCCCGCCACCGCCGTTCTCTAAACAACGCCTCCAAGTGGTAATTTTCGCCCATGTTGTTGCAATTTTCACCAATTTTCTCGAAAATCGTTCTCAACTGAATCACCCTGCCGAGTGGATTAAGCTCACGTAGATATCTAACGAAGGGGGGTTCGTTTACGGAACAACTTTTACGAAAAGAGAAGCTTCGTTTGAGTTGGCGTTTGAAATGCTTGTGTGTAGAATATTAAATTGTTTAAACGTTACCTTTGACGCACCCAGCCTTACCATAACCACGTACTGTAATAATTACTGTAACTTAATCTACACAATATAACTTTGTGCCAGTACTCAGACACTAGCTAAGACCGTTTCCCCGAACACTATTAGTAATGCGAACATTTTGGAAAACAAAGAGACTACGACGCATTAGTTTTATGCAGTGGCGGGTTGCACAGTTGCACAATATACATGGCTGTATATTCAAAACCACAGAGGAAAGGGTAGCGTCCGAAAATCCGAAGCGCTCTTAGTTCACTATTATTTACACTCGAGCGCAAAATAAGTTGCTTGAAATTCCGTCACAAAGAGCCCGAGGCGTCCCGTGAAAAAGGACAGTTTACTCTTTCAATAAAGAGAGCGGTCGTGCGCTCGCGTCTACCGCGCGATATTGCCTCAGCGCTTACTCCATTTTGAGTACTTACCGCGTTATAATATGCATTAAACTGCACTGGCAGAAAGTTGTAGCGGCGCTCGAGGTGCTAGCAGACAATGAGAAATGAGCGTATGATGCTCCCGCAATGCGGGCCCCACGTCTCGCCTCATTCCATTTGTTTTATCACGCTTAAATCACTGTTGCCAGACAACTTTTGAACGCCCCGCCGAGGTTGATAAAAGTTTGACAGCGACTGTCGTGTACAGGCCCTGGGATCGTGTTTGTCAATGAAAGGGAACGGAGGTATCAAAGACGTTAAGAGTATTTAGAAGTTAACGAAGTTAATTAAATTCACCGAGTTAGACGTCGACGCCACCACTCTTTAGTATCAAGGGCGCCTTTGTAAACAAACGAACATATTAATGTTAACGTATCGCATGAATACAGACTCTGTTAACAACCAACTCGAAACATAATTACGGCGCGTTTGTTGTAAAAACAAAATAATGTTTCTTGCCTATTTTTAAAGCTATAATATAAACTTTGATGCGATGAATATGTACCTCTGTATAGGAAATCAAATTGTAAAGTAAGGGTCAGCTGTGAGTGCGCGTGCTATGTTCGGGACTGCTATTAAAAACGATTTAAAATTCACAGAAGGCTTAACTGCCGAACCACCGCGGGAAACGTCACAGCAATTTGATGGCGTAATTATGTAAGCTCAGAATCACAAACGCTAAATCCTTTGATATTTTGGGACATATGTGGGTATGTAGTTTTGTATGAATACTCTCCATGTTAAAAACTGAAATAAATTCATGACCATTTCCTGGACTACTACTATAATACACGTTTTTATTATGAACTTATGTTTCTAGGTATTTAAAAACCTGCATCTGACTAACAAATTTAATCTTTTTGTACGTACACGAATAAATTCTTAATATTTATTATGAATGAAGTGATTGCCGAACAAAGTAATAAATATTTTCTAAACGGCTTTATTTACCCTTTTAGTAAGTAATAATTCTAAAATAAGTTACCTTGCATAAAATGTAGCGATACGGAGCGTATATTGCTCTTATAAGTATCGGAAACCCATTTGCCTAAGTGCATGAAGTCCAAGTTTTGCCATAAACATGAAATGCGGTCCATGCAAAATGATATGTTAAGGTGTAGGTGAGGTATAGCGGACAAGCCGGGCGGGGTTTATGTAGAGCAAGTTGCCGGAATGGCGGCAATCGTGAGGAGTTAGTGTACCAGCGTGGACGGAACGGGGTATCCCCAACGTGGCATAGCTCCGTGCTTCATCGACGTGCATTGCCCACAGGACGAAAATGAACAATATTTATTGCCGAGTTGCGGTACGATATGCCGGAACGGAATTTCCGAAGTAATTTATAGTTCGCAACACCTTGCCTTCGTAGCTCGGTTCCGAACTCATGCCATAGTTCAATTTTGATTTCACGTCGGTAATAGAGGAAAATTCTTTAAATTACTTGTATCGTAGGTATAACCAAATTTTTTTTATTAATCTTTTCCTCGCGTCCTTTAAATCTGTAAATCTGTCAATAGAATTGAAAATACATTAATTATTCCATTACGAAAACATCCCGACAAGGGAAAAATTCAATCTGGATTCGTCGCACCGCATTTGAGAACCATTTATAAAACGATCGCGCCTTCACACAAACACAAAGCAATTAGTTATACCTATAATTAGCATTCGAATCGCGTTCGACGGGAATAAACATTGATTTTTTATTCCCCCAAAACTGGAGGGAGGCCGCGGTTCCGGACGAGATTGGGAATACTAATGTGTTCACTTTTGAACGGTTATTCGCGCCCCGCTAACGCCCAACGTTTTTTGCATAAAACATCTCATCAAAGGATTGCTTAGGACCCGCAGTATATTGAATATCAAAAGGTGCACGAACGAGAAAGTTTCGGGAGGTGGAGCGGTCGTGGCATCCCTAATATCGGCCACTGTGAAAGCCTTCTTTAAAAATACACCTTTTGGAACGTGTTTGGAATAATCGCCTGCACAACTAAGAATGTTTGTCTAGTAGGGAAATCAAAAATGTTGTGGAAGAGTTTGAAACTTCTTGATTTGGTTTGCAACAAGTTTTAATTTATAACAAATTAATGTGCCTTATGTTAAAGAATGATTAAATTAACTAAAAGTTAATAAAACGGCCTATGTTGACAATACAGTATCGATCGAGTTCGTCCTTGTACAGGTTTTCAAACTATAAATGGGGGAAACAACTTTAGAACGAGTGTTATTAAAAGTTTGACGCCCCAGTTAAGAATAGTTGAAGACAAAATTACCCATGCATATCGATTGAAAAAATAAATCGGGTTAGAAGATTCATGATCATAAAATTTTCTGGGGACGAATCTCGTAAAAGTCAGCAGAGCGCTCGTAGGCAAACGTTAAAAACCCACGTTCGTCGATTTACGGCGCCTATAAAATACATATTGCGATTCGTGATAAAAGTCCTTGCCGAATTCGTCCATACCGCCAATCGCTGAATTTATCTGGCCTGTCTATGAAATACATTTCAGTGGTCTCCATCGCTACCAATAGCCGCAGAGCTGAATACTGCTCATATCAATATTTCAGCGCTTCGAAATGTTCTTGAAATATTTATTACCTAGTCGTTCCAACATTTAAAGCAAATAGGAACAGGAAAAATGTAACGAA